GTATGATGCCTGTCCCCACCTGGAATTGGTAAAGAAAAATGCACTAGAAAGCAGAAACTTTTACAAATGAGCTACTGTATTGCTTTTCCCTTGTAAATTCTTCATTTAAAAAAAAAAAGACTAATGGTCTATAAAATATAATGCAAAATTCAATATTTGAGTGGGCATTTTTGAGTGTTTGTTATTTTTTAAAATATATATTTTATTGATTTTTTTATAGAGAGGGAGAAGTAGAAACATCCATGAGAGAGAAACATCAATCAGCTGCCTCCTGCACACCCCCTACCGGGAATGTGCCCGAAACCAAGGTACATGCCCCTGACCAGAATTGAACCTGGGTCCCTTGAGTCTGCAGGCCGACGCTCTATCAATTGAGCCAAACCGGTTAGGGCTACTATTGTTTTTTTCTCTTAAATGTATATTTATTTCAACACTTAAAAATAATTTCCTACATGCTTTTTGCTTTTGCCAGCAATGTAAAGTTAAATACAGATAACTATTTTTAAGGCCAAGAAAAAACCTCACTCTTAATTCACACAAAGTAAGCCCAAGTCCTTATCTACAAGGCCTTACCTGATCTGCATCACCCATACCCCCATCTCCTATCACTATCCTCTTCCTTCTGCTTACTGGGCTCAGAGCTCCAAGCTAAGGATGCGACGGATGCTTCCCTCTCAGGGACTTGGCTTGCTGTCCTGTCTGGAAGGAGCTTTCCCCAGTAGCCATATGGCACGCTCTCACTTCCTTCAGGTCTCTGCTCAAATGCCATCCTGAGCTTTCCTTTTCTACCCACACTCACTGTAAAACAGCTAAACTTTTCTCCACCGCACTTATCATTTGACATTTATGTAGAGTATATTATATTGTATATTTGATTATTTGTTATTGTGTATCTCCTCCCACTAAAATAAAAGTGTGTGTGTGTGTGTGTGTGTGTGTGTGTGTTAATCCTCACCTGAGGATATTTTTCCATTGATTTTTAGGGAGAGTGGACAAGAGAGGGAAAGACAATGTCAGAGAAACACATTGATTAGTTGCCTCCTGCACACCCCAACCAGGGCCAGGGAAAAGCCTGCAACCTAGATACGTACCCTTGACTGGAATCGAACTCAGGACTCTTTGATCCACAGGCCAATACTACATCCACTGAGCTAGGACTAAGAATTTTTTTACCCCCTGCTATACCCCTAACACTCTGGAGAGAGGGCCTATCTCACTCCTAAATTCCACAAATACTCATTGAATAAATTTGTTGATAAAACACTATTTGATTTAAAAAACAAAAACAAAATACCTTCCTTTAGCTCTGGCCAGTTTGGCTCAGTGGATAGAGAGTTGGCCTGTGGTTTGATTCTGGTCAGGAGCACATGCCTGGCTTGTAGGTTTGAGTCCCACAGCTGATCAGTGATTCTCTCTCATCACTGATGCTTCTGTCTCTCTCTCCCTTTCTCTCTGAAATCAATATATATGTATATATGAATATATATTCATTCACATACATATATGTGTGTTAAATAAATATATACGTATATATGTATATATATTCATTCACATACATATATGTGTGAAATCAATATATATGTATATATGAATATATATATTCATTCACATACATATATGTGTGTGTGCATATATATATATATACTATATATATATAAAACAAAACACCTTCCTTGATAATTTACTGAAGAATAACTCTTAATTCAAATGCTCATCTTTTGCTTAAATTAAAATGCTAAGTTAATGCTGATCTACTTCTCAGGATGGGTTCTTTTTTCATATTGACATTTAACTTTGAGCAGCACTTACAGAGTGAAAAGAACACTGGAATTCAAAGGCAGGAAAGCAAGGGTCTAATCCTTTGCTCTTCCTTAACTAGCTACACTATAGAGACCAAGTCATAATTTCTCCTAATCTCAGATAACTTCTCTAAAATGAAAGAAATTATTGCTAAGCATCTTCTTGCTCTAAATTTCTGCAACTGTATTTCAGCTAGTGCAGTCTTTTCTATTTTTAAATTTTTGTAAGAATTCATTTGAACCCTAACCACTTTGGCTCAGTTGATAGAGCATTGAGCCTGTGGACTGAAGGGTCCCAGGTTTGATTACACATATGTAGGTTGCAGGCTCAATCCCCAGTCAGGGTACATGTGGAAGGCAACCAATCAATGTATCTCTCTCACATCAATGTTTCTCTTTGTGTCTCTCCCTCTCCCTTCCACTGTCTCTTTAAAAATCCATGGAGAAATATCCTCTGGTGAGGAGGAGGAGGAGGAAGAGAAGGAGGAAAAGAAAAAGGAGGAGGAGGAGGAGGAGGAGGAGGAGGAGAAGGAAGAGGAGGAGGGGGAGAGGAAGAAGAGGGGGAGGAGAAAGAGGAGGAAGAAGAAAAAGCAAGATCACAAATGTTTGCTAGGACAGTCTTATACATTAAGGTTGACAACCATATATTAGTTGGCTTAGTTTGAGTCTCACCTTCCAAAATGCAAAATTGTTAACTGAAGGATTCTATAGAACTCTAAAACCCCAGTGGAAATTTGGCCATTGCTCCTGGCTGAGTAGCTCAGTTAGTTAGAGCATCGGTTGTGAGTCCATTCCCAGGTCAAGGTACATACAAGAATCAACCAATGGCCCTAGGTGGTTAGGCTCAGTGGATAGAGCATTGGACTGCAGACTGGAGGGTCCTGAGTTCAATTCCAGTCAAGGGCACATGCTCGGGTTGCAGGCTCAATCCCCAGTAGGGAGCGTGCAGGAGGCAGCTAATCAATGATATTCTCTCATCATTGATGTTTCTATCTCTCTCCCTCTTCCTTCCTCTCTGAAATCAATAAAAAATAATAAATAAAAAAGAATCAATCAATGAATGCATCATTAAGTGGAAAAACAAGTCTTTCTCCCACTTTCTCTCTCTACTCTTCACTTTTCTTGCCTTTTCTGTACAATGGGTGCAATATTTACAATTGTTATAATGAGTAACAACATGTAGCTACTAGGATCCTTTTGAGAATTTAGTAAGATGAGGCCAGACACAAAGGATACACTTAATCCATACTATCATAATTAAATAATTAAATATGAACATACCCACACAAATACAAATCTAATAGCCACCAAAACATTCTTAGCTACCCACTTCTACTGATACTATGTAACCTATATAAGTGTAAAGAAAGGAAGAAAAGTTCTTTACAACTGCCAGTCATAAATGTTTATCACCCTTACACATATTGGTTTCTGAGAGATCAAACCATACATTTTTTAAGGTTTTTTTCTTTTTTTATCTATCAGGCCAGAGACGTTCTTTCTTTTTAAAATCATTCTTCTGTAGAAACGGCTGACCAATTCATTCAACACATTTATACAGTAAGCATCTTAGGAAAACCAACTTAACAAATGAAGTATTTTTAACTACTACTCTTTATAATCCTAAAAAAAATAAATAAATTGTATCTATACCTTTTTTGGACCTGTGAAGTTAGATTAGTCTCTAAGGAACAAAGAGCATCCACTTCCCATATCTCAAACAATAGAACCAATTAAATTAAAAGATTCCACCATCACAGCATATTACCTCTGAGTTTTCAAACAGATAAGACACTCAGACACACCTTGCTTTTTACAGAGCAAGCCCAAATGAGACACAAATAAAACGACGATTCAATGTTAGGAATTCCCTAGCAACTCGTATCTTCCTCCGTTTTGGTGGCCAGACTGTAAAATAAGTCAATTAAGAGTTCACAATGAGAATGCTGCAACCTCAACCTCAAATCCAGACAGAAAAACACAGCGGACCGTTTTCGCATCTCAGGCACGTCCAAAGAAAGGTCTCAGGCAACGAGATCCTATCGCTGCCCATCGCTGCCGTTTCCAGAAAGAGACGGTGACGGGTTTTAATCCATTTCCATAAAGGTTCCTTGTGCTCAAAGCCAAAGGGCATGCATTCCCGAAAAACACAAAAGATTCCTCGCATTCCGTGTACAGCCTGAAGGCAGGCCATCCTCTCTCTCTCTCTTTCTCTGCGCCCTACCCCAGAGAGCCTTCTTCGCTGTCAGTAAGAATTTCATGACACCCCGTGCTCCCTACGCGTCAGCATGTTCCCCCCCAAAGTGAAGGGGGAGCAGTGTCAGCATCGGTGGCCTCGAAGAGGCGATTCGGCCCGCATCCCCACCTCTGGGGTGAGGCAAAGCCAAGGGAAGTCGACGGAAAGTTCCCATCACCCAAGCCTATCTGGTTTCCTTCTGCCCCCAAAGCAGGAGCACAATTGCTGAGATTTGCTGATGCACCTGCCGCGACTGCTGCGCCCGGGGCTTCGCGGCGACCCTCGCGCTCACAAAAAATAAGGCCCCGCGGCCTAGAGCGCCCGTGACCCTGGGCGGAGAGAAGGGAGGGCCGCGGCAGCATCCCCGCGCGGTCCACACCGCCCGCCTCCCTGACAAAGGCCCCGTGTCAACCCGAGGCATGACACACAGCTGCTGGACTGCCCATCGCGCACCGGCGGCAGCGGCTAACCTCCACAGTGGTAATAATAATAATAATAATAATAATAATAATAATAATAATAATAAAAAAAAATAAAAATCAACCCAGAACTGGATATAAGAAAGAGGGGTGATGCATAGCGTTAAAAATGGAAATGTCCCCAAAGCTAAGCAGCCTGGGTGTTGCCCGCGAAGTGGGTCCTGGGGTCCATGGGGGAGGGGAGAGGAGGCTGGGGAGGGAGGCGGCGGCGGCTCCTCCCGGGCGAGAAGGCCGTACCGGGTGACAGCCTGATAAAACGCCGGAGTCAGAATGAATAAATGCCCCGATGCAGTCCCCGGCGGGCCGGGGCCGGAGGAGCGATGGGGGCAGGCGGCCGGTCCGCAGCCCTGCGGCCGCGCTCTCGCACCTGCCCCGCCGCGCGCCCCCGCAGCCCTGCCCGGGCAGCCCCCGGGGGCCCGGGGCTGAGGGGAGAGCCGGCCCCGGGGGTGCGGGCGGAGAGGAGGGAGGGGGCAGCCGCGCGCTCACCTCCAAGTCGGTGTCGGCGGCCTCCGGGGCCCCGAGGATCTCGCTGGGCAGCTCGGCCAGGTCGGTGACGCGGATGAGCCCGTCGTGCAGAAAGATGGTCTCTTCCTTCACCGAGAGCCACTGCGCCGAGTCCGCGGCCGCCGCCGCAGCAGCTGCCGCGGCCGCCGACGAGCCCATGGCCCCGGCGGCTGAGGTGCTGACGGAGACGAGCAGCCGCCCGCCCGGCCCGGGGAGACGCGAGCGAGCAGGAGCCGCCGCGCTCACCAGTCCATGGCAGCAGCAGGCGCGCCCGCCTGCAACGCCCCGCTCGCCGCCTCTCGCCCGTGCAGCTCCGCCCTAGGCGGTCCGAGCCGCCATCCTCCCAGCCCCCGGCTCCGGAGACCCCGGCCCCGCCGCCGCCGCCGCTGCCGCAGCCGCCGCCCTGAGAAGCAGGATCCGCCTCAGGCGCTCGGCAGCCAACTGTCAGTGAGACGCCATGTTGGGGGCGGGGCTCCCGGCATGCCCCGCGGGGCGGACAATACGGCCCGGCCCACCGCTGGCCCCGCCCACCGCCCGCAGCCCGGGGGCCGGGGGCCGGGCACTTCACGTCGCCTGTCAATCATCCGTCTTGCTCTCAGACTGCCCTCCCCTCCCCTTCTTGCCCTAGTCATGTGGGGGCGCCCTGGGTCTGCAGTCCGCCTGGGGAAGAGGCTTCCGCCTTCTCTCCCAACACCTCTCAGACTAGAGCACCCCTCGCTCAGACTAGAGCCCCCACAGAACATGTAGGTTCACTCCCTGCTTTCACCTTTTTAAAGGTGATATATGCAAAAAACATGGCGCTGCAAACTTGTTCAGAAGGCCTTGGTAGAACCGCACCGTAGGTGCTTCATGTCTTCTAAAAAAGTCTAGCACTCAAAACTCAATGAAAGCCGAAACCGGTTTGGCTCAGTGGATAGAACCTCGGCCTGCAGCTGAAGGGTCCCAGGTTCCATTCCGGTCAAGGGCATGTACATTGGTTTCGGGCACGTTCCCGGTAGGGTGTGTGCAGGAGGCAGCTGATCAATGATTCTCTCTCATCAATGTTTCTAACTCTATCCCTCTCTCTTCCTCTCTGTAAAAAATCAATAAAATATATTAAAAAAAAAAAAAAAACTCAGCGAAAGCCCTCGTGGTTTGGTTCGGTGGGTACAGCGTTAGCCTATGGACTGAGGATCCTAGGTTCGATTCCAGTCAGGGGCAAGTGCCCAGGTTGCCAACTCATCCCTAGTGTGGGTCTTGCCGGAGGCAGCCAATTGGTGATTCTCTTTCACCATCTACATTTCTAATTCTCTTGTCCTCTCTGAAATCAATAAACCTATATTTAAAAAAAAAAAAAAAAAAAACTCAATGAAAATAAAACACCAGTCACAATGCTTGGTGCCCGCTCTCTGGCACCTCCCTAAACGAAAGTTGAAACTATTTGTTATATTTCATCAACATTCAACACTGATTGACATAAACTTTAAAAAGACGCATACCGTCCAATCTTTATACAAACATGAAAAAAACACTATATGTGTCGAGAAAAATGAATGGGAGAATACATACCAAATTGTTAATGTGAGTTGCCAAGCAGAGTAGGAATGGTCTAGAACACATGTGTCAAACACAAGGCCCGCGGGCCAAATCCGTCCCGCCAGGCCTTGCAATGTGGCCCGCACCGCGCTGTCATCACTGCACTCTGCTGCGTTTCCATCACAATGACAGTTTATGACTGTTCAGTAAACCATTCCGCCCACGATTTAGGCTGGATTTTAGATTTTGGCCCCTTCTCTGATTGAGTTCGACACCCCTAATGTTGAGATGAGAATGTTATCTTTGTATTGTTTTGATGCTTACAAAAAATAAAGTGCTCCTTTGTATCAAAGGACTTGAAAATGTGTGTCCACAAAAAGTCTGCACATGGATATCTATAGCAGTTATATGCATAATTGCCAAAACTTGGAAGTAACCAAGATGTCCTTCAATATGCCGAAACCGGTTTGGCTCAATGGATAGAGCGTCGGCTTGGGGACTGAGAGGTCCCGGGTTCAATTCCGGTCAAGGGCATGTACCTTGGTTGCCGGCATATCCCCGGTAGGGGGTGTGCAAGAGGCAGCTGATCGATGACGCTCTCTCATCGATGTTTCTAGCTCTCTATCTCTCTCCCTTCCTCTCTGTACAAAATCAATAAAAATATATTTTTAAAAAAATAAGATGTCCTTCAATAGGTGAATGGATAGATAAACTCCAGTGCATCCAGACAATGGAATATTACTTGGTGCAAAAACGAAATGGCTATCCAGCCCTGAGAGACGCTGAAATCCATATCACTACGAGAAAGAAGCCCATCTGAAAAGGCTACATATCACATGATTCCAACTACACAACATGCTGGAAAAGGCAAAACAATGGAGACAATAAAAGGATCTCTGGTTGCCAGAGGTTAGGGGGAAGGAGTCATAAATAAATAGAATACAGTGGACTTTTAGGGCAGTGAAAATATACTGTAGATATCATGATGACATGTCATTTTATAATTGTTCAAACCCAAAGAATATACAACAGCAAGAGTGAAACCTAATGGAAACAATGGACTTTGAGTGATGATGTGTCAATGTAAGTTTATTGATTGTAACAAATGTACCATCTGTGCCATATGTTAATAATAAGGAAAACTATGCAAGTGTGGGGGCAGCAGGTACACAAGAAATATCAGTACCTTCCTCTCAATGTGAACCTAAAACAGCTCTAAAAAATACTTTTAATAAAGAATCTATATATATAAAAGGCCAAAATGATGTGTCCCTCTGACTGCGCCCTGCATACTGACCACCAGGGGGCAGACACTCAACACAGGAGCCACTATGATGCACACTGACTGGAACCACTGATCTGGTCCCAACAAACCAACACTCGGCTTCCCCCAAGTGATACAGGCCCCACCACCACCCAGGAGCAGCACCCCACCAAATTGCAGCCAACGCTGCAATGGCGCAAAATGCGGCCCACAGCCCAGTCCAGACCAGAAATGGTGACTGTGGGCAGCAGGTGATGATGTCACATAGCAACACCCAGCTTCCTTTCCAGGTCAGGGCACATGCCCGGATTGCAGGCTCCATCCCTACTGGGTTTCCCCGAAAATAAGACATCCTCCGAAAATAAGACCTAGCACATGGAAAGATAAGACATCCCCAGAAAATAAGATCTAGCGCAACTTTGGGAGAAAAAATTAATATAAGACACTGTCTTATTTTCGGGGAAACAGGGTAGTAGGGGGTGTGCAGGAAGCAGCTGATCGATGTTTCTCTTTCATTGATGTTTCTAACTATCTCTCTCCCTTTCTCTATGTAAAAAAAATCAATAAAAATATTTTAAAAAAAAATAAAAATAAAGCAGCCAAGTTCACTTAGGAGTAGAAATAAGCAGTAGAAAGAGCAGCGAGCCTAGAGAACATCAAGTACATTCAAAGCGCCATCATACACCCACGTTCTCTGCTCTTTGGGTTCTGGCGGGTGCGATGCGTGTGCTCCGGGAAGCCCTGGGGCGAAGGTGAACTTAGATGAGGGTCTAGAGTGCAAGGGTGTCAGCTTCGGCTCCCAGAGCCTGGGCCCTGCCTGCTCTGTGGCTACGAAGAACCAGCTGTCTCTATGCCTCTCCCTTCAGGAAGGACATGTCAGAAGGCCATTTTACCTGGAGAGGAAGCACTCTGGCAATCAGATGATCAAAGTATCGATCAACCGCTTGGACAAAGCCCTGGTCGGCTGTCCTCAGCCTAGCTCCGGGTCCTGCAGCAACCAACTGGGGGCGAAAGGAGACAAGCTCAGGGCTTGAGTTGGGAAGGCAGGAGGCGGGAGGTCAGCCAGCTCTCCTTGCAGAGCTCCCGCCAGCCCAGCTTTATGTCTTCTGATCTCCTGCAGCCCTCACGGGACCTGGAAGATGCTCTCTGGACCATCCTACTGGGCTGTCCTACTGACAAGTGTCCGGTGACAGTTCCCAGCTTAGGAGGTGCGGCAGCTCCATCAAGGCCCTCGGCGGGGAGGGGTGGGGCGGGGCCTCCAGCTGAGCAGAGCAGGGCATTGCTCCTTTGCTAAAATATCCCTTCCTTCATGGTCAGGCTTCTGCAGCTCCTGAGCTGGATGGGAGAACACGCTCATCGCTGAGGAAACAGAGCCTTGACTGAGCCACGGGAGGAGGGCGCCCCCTGGAGCTGAGCTGGGGACTGCACACACCTGGCAGCTGGCATGAGCGGGAGCATGCGCCTGGATGCTCACCCTGCACCCAGCTGTCTGCACTAATGGCCCGCCGCACAGAGGAGAGAAGGCAAAGGGAGGGAAGGGAGAACGGAGGAGGGCTGAGGTCCCTCGGCTCAGGAGAGAGCATGGTCTCCCACTAACAAAATAAGAGAAAAGCCAGGGGAAGGGGGGTCCCGCAGAGCAAGTCCAGAGGTTGTCAGAACCCCTTCCACCGCAGGACAGAGACCAGAGACGGGACCGGAAGGAAGAGCTGCGACCACCCCATGCTGCCTCTCCCCGCCCAGGCGCCCGCGGCACCAGGACCCGCATCTGTGACCGGGACAAGGGTGACAGCGGTGCCCGTAACTCACCGGGCCTTCCCCGAGAACACGGGCTCCAAGCTGTCAGATTCCAGCTCTGCTTTTATTTTAAAATATATATATATATTACTGATTTTTCACAGAGAGGAAGAGAGAGGGATAGAGAGTTAGAAACATCGATGGGAGAGAATCATCGATCAGTTGCCTCTTGCACACCCCCTACTGGGGATGCGCCCGCAACGAAGGTACATGCCCTTGACCGGAATCGAACCCGGGACCTTTCAGTCCGCAGGCCGACGCTCTATCCACTGAGCCAAACTGGTCCCAGCCCAGCTCTGCTTTTAGTGAAACAAACCGTCACAGCCCTCTCCTCAAAGCACCCCCACCTGGGCAGGCCGCCGAGGTTGATCTCGCTGCAGATGTAGGGGCCTGGACGCAGGATCACCCACAGCCCCACCTCCGCGGCCAGCCGGACAAAGGCCCTGGCAAGGTCAATGGCAGCCACTCTGAGGACGTCCGAGCAGGGGGTGGGGATGAGCCAGCACACACCGCAGGCAGCAGAGCTACCCAGGTCCTCTGCTGGCCTGCCCTCCTCTCAACCAGAGACAGGGAGAGTGAAGGGAAGGCCAAGCCCCCACCCTGCAGAGCAGGTCACCCTGCACCTGTGGTCACAGGCCTGAGGCCTGCAGCTGGGTTCTCACCAGCCCCCAGCCCAGGACCCTCTGCACAGCCCACCGGGTCATGAGGAGGGGGTGTCAGACAGGGGACGGGGTCCTCGTCCTGAACCTGACCCGACCACCTTGCTGCTTCCGGGGACAGCCCGCTCCCAGCACAGGTGGCGGGACCCCACTGCAGAGCAGGAAGGGCTGAGAGGGGAGCAGGCTCCTCTGGGCTGCAGTGAGGAGGGCTGGGCTCAGGGGAGG